CTGGATCTAGCTTAACTCAGTTGCAAACCCCACTCTACCCCAATGTAGACTCAGTTAAGCCCCATTTTAGCAAGCTGAATGAGAACCAGTGATTGTGCCATGTCAGGTAAACGTCTTCACTAGGGAAGCAAGGCATTTTATTAACGCCTTAGCTCAGCCGTGCGCAAACCATGGGGTGTGACCTCTTTGGGGGTCACAGCTATCTTCCTGGGGAGGTCACAGTGCCAGGCCAGCCTCCATTTTGTTTTCCCAGCTAGGTGCCCGACGGGGGTGAGGGCAGAGGCAGGGGAGCAGACTTGCACTCTCAATTAAAGGCTAGGTGCCCGACGGGGGTGAGGGGAGTGGCAGGGGAGCAGACTTGCACTCTCAATTAAAGGAGCTGCAACAAAATGGCCTGGCGCCTTTTTTTTTCTTCTCAACCCTGGGGGTTGCGGATTAAAAAAGGTTGCGCACCACTGCCTTAGCGGAGGTGCTGAAATTCTAGTGAAGACAAGACACCACCAGGTGTTAGCTGGTGCACGTCAACTCTGGGCTTTACCAAATGTTAAAACCTGCAACTACTTTGCCTTCGTTGGGATGTGAACACGTCTGCTAATGCGTTTAAAACAGAACTGGGTCAGACCAAAGGTCCATCTAGCCCGGTATCCTGTTTTCTGACAGTGGCCAGTGCCAGGTGCCCCAGAGGGACTGAACAGAACGGGGAATCAGCAAGTGATCCCACCCCTGTCAACAAACAGAAGCTAGGGACCCCATCCTGGCTAATAACCATTGATGGACCTATCCTCCATGAATGTATCTAGTTCTTTTTGAAACCCTGTTAGAGTCCTGACCTTCACAACGTCCTCTGGCAAGGAGTTCCGCAGGTTGTGCACTGCACAACAAAAAATACTTCCTTTTGTTTATTTGAAACCTGCTACCTATTCATTTCATTTGGTGACCCCCCCTAGTGGAACAAGTAAACAACTCTTCCTTGTTCACCTTTCCCCTTGTCTTGACAGCCTGTGACAATGGCTCCCTCCAGGCTGGTGTGCTGGGAGCTGCTGCTTGGCAAAGGAGCCCTGCTGTGGCTGGGGGAAGGGAGGAGGGGTGGCCTGGTGGCTTGTGTCTGCTGCCTTACAAAAGTGCTGAACTAAAGGAAGGGTCCAGCCGGCATTACCTGCACTCCAAGCACTACTGAAGGAGGCAGGAAAGCTTGGGAAGGCTTGTTCCTTCCTGAGTAGCAGAGCTTAGCTAAAGGCCCCACTGTCCAGCCAGAGGCGTTTGAACAAGGGCATGTCAATGCATTTTCCATCCCAACGGGGCAGTTGCGCTTTCCACTCCAGCCTCTGGGGCGGGGGGGCTTTCTTTTCTTCCCCACCAGCTCTGTGCAGCCCTGTTTCAGATTGGCCTTTTTCTGTTTGAGAGAAAGAATAGTTGTTGGCCCATTCCATCTTTTCAGCGCTGCTCTCCAGGCCTGGATCCAAGCGGGCTTGTCAGATGCTCATTAACTCCCCCTTTGGCTCTTTCCCGTGTGTCTCCGCAGCGCTTTGTGCCAAGAACTGGCGCTTCTTTCTCCTTCCCCGGCTCCCTTTCTCCGCTCCATCAGGGAGACAAATTACTTTCCAAAAGGGATCGCCAGGGACGGTTTAATGAGAATTTCTGCGGGGCTGGCCGTGGAACTCAAGGGAGTTAACATTCGGTGGACTTAATTGGACTTTTCTCTTCTGCCTCCTTCAAAAAAAAAAACCTCGGGGGCTATCCTGTTAATCTCTCATTTGTAATCAATTGTGTTGACTAAACAAAAGTCTAGGTCGGCCTTTCTTCCTGTCCCAGACAATCCTTTGTTGCCTCCCAATGCCTCATTCTGGAGTGCTGCTGGTCGTGTAGATGGGCTCGCTTGTTGACAGTTCATTCTTGCGCTTTTATCCCCGTAATCTCCCTCGCCGGGGTTTGCATGGGCGCGCCTTTAATGAGCTCCGCTGGCAATTAACATGTTTCGAGCAGCGGACTGGTTGCTCAGACGTTTGGAGAGCGCGGTGCGGGGAAAAGGGCAACGCGGCTGCCTTTGGGGTCGCTGGCTAACCCCCGCTGCGGGGCGCCCCGCCTCTCCCCACACCTGCCCCCGCCTGCTCATGCGGGGGACACGCTGGCGGTAGCGGGTGGGGGCCCCTCCGGCAGGCAGGCGAAGGGAGCACCCCAAAGGGGGGGGCTGAAATGCAGGCAATTTTTAGGTC